AAATTTAAAGACCCGAGTATTTTGTATAAGGCACGAATTTGTTTATCTTTGATATATATAACCATAATTCGAATATTATATATGTATATCAGCATAAAAGAATAAAGAATGACACAGAATTTTGATTGTTTCTAGATTGATCGATATTTTGAATTTGAAGTTCTACAAATTCTTCCCGCTTACGCAACTTGCATACCTAGCATTCTTATGCTTTCTAAACACAAGATATAAATCGTAATAAATCTATATTTGAGAAAAGAGGAACATTTATAGAAAGTTTATTAGATTTAAAACGAAATATGTACAAATCAACAAGCGTACCAAAATTTTAATGCACCATATACGTGAGTACCTGTGGGTACGCACCATTCAATCATCGATGACTAATTCACTCGGCTCAATGGCATGAAAAGAACCTCGATAACGCTTTATGACTTCCGTCGTCTCGCTCTATGAAGGTCGTCGATCGGTAAGTTTGTGTGCTAAAACGATACATAAAAATGAAGCATCATTTGATCGTGAAAGTCCTTATGACAATGCATTATGCACATATTATACTTTCTTCATTCTTATATAGAAATATTTCATACTTTTTATTACATTTTTTTATACTTACGTAATGATGCAATTCATGTAAAGTCCATATGATTATACACGTATTATCGAACATCGATATAGAAGTATTATCTTCAATAAAGATCGAATGAATATTAATTATTCAAGGACAGGATGTATATGAGAATTGATGTTTACATTCTAAAAATATCAATCTCCAGAAAAGTTAACAATTTATTGCGGCCGATATAGAAATTATATTCAATTCATTCGCTGAAACGTTGAAAGTAATAAAATCAGTATGCTTGTGCTTAACCACAAACGAAATGCAGAAACAAGCCTGACCTCTTACGGGTCTTGTGACACTTGCTCTGAAATACCGACTGTTCAAAAACTATTTTATTGTTCATTCTCTATCGCATCAGTGAATTTATCTTTCCCTTCATCAGTGAATTTATCTTTCCCTTCATTAGTACTATTAGATCTCGAATGAACTTTGTTTTGTTGAATTTGTGATATTCTTTATAATAAAGTTTTTAAGGAACAAAAAATGAATCATACCGTTGAGTCAATTAATAAATTTCGACGATAATTTCTTTATTGTTTTAT